AGTTAAGGTACAAAGTCTTAAAACTTAAACTGTTTGCTATGTAGACAACTAGGTCAAAGATTCACAAAGTTTGTCTCCATTTCAATACGATACGAGTAATAATGTCTTCCCCTTGTCGACGACAGTGTGGCCATTGTGACAGAGTTATCGGACGCCATTCGTCTTTATTCTTGTCATGAATCTCCAATCTCAGTTCCTCCAAATCTCGAAACCACAACTGTGATAACTGATTTTTCCTTCTAAATTCTCTCCGCATTAAAAGAATATTCCACAGACAATTGATGTGATCCATCTTCCATCCGCTTCCACAGAAGAAAGAGTCATCGATAAATCTCGGACGACAAACACAAAACAAAGCATTCATAAGAGATGAAATCGTAGATAAATCAAAACGCAAACCCAAACTATCCACCACAACTGGTTTAATATTCTTGTCTTGTACCATAATGTTTTCTCGAATGCGATAACACTGATCAATGTTGAGAGAAATTATGGATTGGCTTAACGACTTGAGCAGTTCGTTTAGATTGACGAACCACAAAGAAGAAAAAACATTGATAGAATGCAGGTGTATAGTTGAATGCCACTCACTCGAAGAAGTTGTTGCAAAAGAGATGGACGGTATAAAGTCTCCAAAATAGTCAAAATTGTTTATCTTCGGGGCATCAATAAATAGCTTGATTTCTTCAAATCCACAACAATCAAAAATAATTAAGATCTCGAGGATCGGGAATTTACATGTCGACAAGTGGTCAAACCGCGAAACGACACCCGTCATAGATAAACGGGTGAGATTACGAAAGTCCGCACCTCTGAGGAACGGAATACATCCACCATTACAATTGATTACTTCAAGAGAATGGGTATGGATTTTGATTCTACAATCATCCACAAAGGGGACATTATCATTCACAAAAGTGAACTTCTTTAGGTTTTGTAGACTCGTCGCATCAATTGTTGTTAACGCTCGACAGTTTCTGACAGCCAAAGTTTCAATCAAAGGACAAGACAATATTATCTTCTTGAAAATATCATCCTTAATCGAGACTCGTTGAAGATCAAGTGATTTTAGATTCTTCAAGAGTAGTATCCTTCGAATAGTGATTTGGTCCACTATGAATCGATCCAAGTGCAAATATTTGAGCGATTCGGCGTCAAAGACTACAGGCGGCAGATGATTATTTTTATAGTCTTCCATACTATTCCGAAGACGAAGCTCTTTCAAACCCATATTTGTTACTAATGTGATCCATTGCTCAAGAGTGGGCATCGATTCTTCGTCGTCGTCACCGCCTATAGATACACGAAGGCTGAATTCCTCTATGCACAGCCTTTGATCCAAGTATCGCTGTAAAGTGTTGTCCACGGTGGTTATAAAGTCTTGTTTGTTTCCTTCGAAGGCCTGGATCGAAAAATCGAGATTAGGGCGAGTGCACCAAATACTGCGCCATGATTTCGACAATACGGAGGTTCTAACAGCTTCTTTTTGGGAGAGGAAATAAAGTATTCTCTGCATGATGTGTTCTGGCAACATGGATATCCTGCACATGGAATTGAATCCGTCTTCTCCTTTTGGCCTTTTCATGTTACAAGCTGCTGCACGTATTTTTCAGCCTCTGGTTAATTAATTTGTCACAAAGAACCCTAATTAATTTGTCACAGAGAACCCTAGGGTTTACATGAATATAAGACGAAGACTCTAATTATATGAAGTGGAATATAGGAATTACAATATGGCTACAACTCTAATTACGTACCTATTGCATTCTACAACTCTAATTACGTACCTATTGCATTCTTTCTTTGCGTGCAGACCTCTCATTGAAATATAATATATATATATATATATATATATATATATATATATATATATATATATATATATATATATATATATATATATGCAAATAGGCCCATGACAATGTGGCACTTATTTTAAAAATGGACATCCAACTTTTTTGTCTTGCAAATATTTCCAGCCCATTCAAACTTATTAACAAATAAGGAAAATCCTTTTATATATACCAAAATTACCCCAAATTCATTGAAACCCAATTTAACTCTAGTTTCATGATTTACACCCCAATTTAACCCAATTTCATCAATTAACTAATTTTGACCATAATTTTAATTTTGACCCGCCACCACTGGGACCGCCGGTCAGCCGCCGTTGACCGTCGGAGACCGGTAAGACCACCGGTCTCCGGCGCTGAATTTAACTGTCGGAGACAGTAATTTAACTGTTAATTGCTTTTTTTTAAATTAATATTATTGTCTTGGCTGCTAAATTATTATCTTCAGCAGTTATTTAACTGTCGGAGACAGTAATTTAACTGTTAATTGATTTTTTTTGTTCTTAAAAAAATATTTTAATTAATATTACTGTATTGGCTGCTAAATTACTGTCTCCATCAGTTATTGAACTGTTGGAGACAGTAATTTAACTATTAGTTGATTTTTTTTTTGAAATTTGTTTTTTCTTAAAAAAATAATTTTAATTAATATTATTGTCTTAGCTACTAAATTACTGTCTCCAACAGTAATTTAACTGTCTGAGTCAGTAATATTACCGTATTAATTAATTTTATCGTCTTGTCCTGCATTTTTGCGGTCTTCGACTGTAATATTACTGTCTCCGACCTTAATATTACTGTCTCATGCAATAATATTACTGTTTGGGACATTAATATTAATAATATTACTTTTCGGGAAAATAATATTCATAATATTACTCTCTGAGACAGTAATATTAACTAAAATATTTAAAAAAAAAAAACAAAATTTCAAAGAGTGAATTATGGGTTGGGTCTTTCCCTATTAATGAAAATATTGAGGGGTGCGGTTCCAAGAGTGAATATATATTCTATATATATTTTATTGTATTACCCAAAATGGTTAATGTCAAAGAAGCTCGTGACAAAGACACTTAATTTAAAAATGGACATCCAACTCTTTTGTCTTTCAAATATTTCCAGCTCATTCAAACTTATTTGCAAATAAGGAAAACCCTTTTATATATTCTAAAATTACTCCCAAATCTTTGAAACACAATTCAACTCCAATTTCATGATTTACACCACAATTTAGCATAATTTCACTAATTAACCAATTTCGACCTTAATTTTGGCCCGCCACCACTAGAGACCGCCGTTCTACGGCGTTGATTTTTTTTTTTTTGAAAACTTTTTTTTTCCTGGTAGGTCATCCGCAGTAGACCGCCGGGTTTCCGGCGTTGACTTTTTTTTTTTTTTTTTTTTTTAAATATTTTAATTAATATTAGTGTTTTGGCTGCTAAATTACTGTCTCCAACAGTAACTTAACTGTCGGAGACAGTAATTTAACTGTTAATTGACTTTTTTTTTCTTCTTAAAACAATTACTTTAATTAATATTACTGTCTTGGCTGCTAAATTACCGTCTCCAACAGTAATTTAACTCTTAATTGACTTTTTTTTTTTTGAAATTTTGTTTTTTTCTTAAAAAAAATATTTTATTTAATATTACTGTCTTGGCTGGCTAAGTTACCGTCTCCAACAGTAATTTAATTGTCTGAAACAGTAATTTAACTGTCTCAAACAGTAATGTTACTGTCGGAGACAATAATTTTACTGTATTAATTAATTTTATCATCTTGGCCTGCAATTTTGCTGTCTTTGACCGTAACATTACTGTCTCCGACCGTAGGTATTACTGTCTCATGCAATAATATTACTCTTTGGGACAGTAATATTACTGTTCGGGAAAGTAATATTCATAATATTACTGTCCCAAACAGTAATATTACTTTCTGAGACAGTAGCAGCCAAGACAGTAATATTAATTAACATAATTTTTTTTAGAAAAAAAAAGACAAAATTAAGAAAAAGTAAACGCAGGAGAACCGCCCTGTCAACGCCGTAATCTGTCCGGAAAAAAAGAATCATAAAAAAATTTATTTTCTGAAAAAAATTATTATTTCAAAAAAATATTAAAATGGTGGTTAATGTGATATATTTGTTTAAATTCGGGGTTAATGTGTAATATTGAGGAAGTTAGAGTGTAATGGATGGAATTAATAAAAAATATATTATGGAGGGTATTTTAGACTAAAGACACGGGATAAATTTAATTGAAAGACTGTTTTTTGTGTAAGCAATGTGCATTTAAGTCCATTGCCATATCCCTCTTTGCCATTTGCCCCTCAAAAAATTATGATTTTTCTTCGTTTTGTAATAACTAGTAACTGTAACCATGCATTGCCTTTAATAAAGAGAAAAACAAATCCAAAAGGAAAGAATGAAAATTGAAAAGGAATAAAAAATTGTTGGACAATTATAACTAACTAAGGTCGGGCATGGGTTGGGTGATTATCGGCCAATTAACTACATATGATCCGACCGCCTGATTTTGCTAAATATTGGAAATCATTACCGGCGCGATGATTATGGATCGGAATGATTGACAAAATGATTGGCAACTGACGTTGTCAGATATATAATTGGTCGTTTGGATACAGGGTTAAATACAAAAACAGCCCTGTACTATGGACTTTGTATCATATACCCCATGTACTACATATAACAAAACACCCCTGTACTATGGACTTTGTATCATATACCCCCCATGTACTACATATAAATACAAAAACACCCCTGTTGTTACATTTTTTCCAAACTATGACCAAAACCCCCGCTAAAGCCTATAAATAATTAAAATAAGAGTTTGTTTGAGCCATTTTTCAATATATTTTTTAACATTGAACTTGGCTTAATACTAAAAATATCATGTCAGCAACCATTACATGGCAACTATAGCCATGTTTATGAGTAATATGTTCTCTGTTTGATTTGCAGGAACGAGCTATAGGGGAGCTTTGAGCATTACAGTAGCTTCTATAGCGGGGGGAAGTTATCCAAAAGGTTTTTACAATTGCAACAGTTATGGTGGTCTATAGTGTATTTTCTTGTAGTATTTGTTTGTTTTCCTTGTACAGGTTTTGCAATAATGATTATCCGTTTATTTTTCGCATATTTAATGCCAAAATGGTGACGTTTTGCTTCAGATGTTTCTAATTGGAATGTTTCGTCACTTTTATTCGTTTTTCGCCTTTTGATTTCGCTCAATTACAACAAAATAAGGGTTGGGCAACAACGCCGCGCCTTGCGCGGTGCTCATCCCCTAGTATATATATACGGTTTCGTAAGTTGTGAAACAAAATCTTGAAGATTCCAGAATAAATTATCAACCAATAATAAGTTTGACTATTAAAAATAAAGTCAGACACACAAGTCTAACGAGAGTCTGTAAAGCATGACATAAATAAGTAACAACATGCAAACAGTTAAAGTGAATTCTTGTAAACAAGAAATTCAACCCCATTTCTAAATTGTGAAAACGATTAACTGTCTATAATTCTAACTTGTGAAGCTTCCCTCCATTTCAATCGAAAGCGGATACGGTCAAAGTCAGGCAACAGTGCAGATTCTGACCACTTCTTCACCCCCTTTAAAGGCTGCCACTTTTTTCGTTTCGTATCAAAACTGTCAATACTTAAGTCCTCCAAATCTTGCCAGATTTGATTTGGGCTTCCACTCTCTCTCATCATTTGAATAGTGCACCAAAACTCACTGAGTTCCTCGTTTTCCCTTTCTTTGTTCTCAATTCCTCGAGGGAACCAGCATGGAAATATGATTCTCGGGCGACAGATACGAAACAAACCATTCAAAAAAGACATAAGTGAAAGTACGTGACCAAAACTCAATCGCAAAAACTCTATCACAATTGGCTTATTATTACCACCACCATTAATAATGCCTTGCTCTAGAATATCTTGTTCAACGTGCATATTGCCAATGGCGAGATGGAAAACACTCAGTAAAACTACGGAATTACGTAAAGCCTGGAGCAATTTACTTAGTCCGAGGAACCATGACCGAGCACCACCTGCGTAATCCCGAATAATATACAGTTTCAGAATTGACTCCACGGAAGTTGGTGCGAAAGCGACGGATGGCATAAAACATCCTGAATAGTAAAAATACTCCATGTTTGGGGCATCGATACATAGCTCAGATTGTTCGATTGAATTGCTAGAGAATATTTCCACCATGTCTAGACACAAAGTCTTTAGATTATCGAACTTATGGATGTGAAACCTAATCTTACTGCCTATAATCTCCATTTTCTCGAGATTTGGGAAATCGATTTCAACGCTGCATTCGTCTATTCTTGGAGTGTTGCGATTAATACAACTGAATTTCTTGAGATATTTGAGAAGCTTCTTCTCCAACTTTATATTTTTCAAACCCTTACACTCTCTAAACCACATAGTAGTAAGCAAAGGGCAGCTCGAGACTATCTTTTCAAAAATCTCTTCCTCCATCAAGACATTTTGGAGACGAAGTACTTGTAGACCCACAAATGGTATATTCTCGGGAATATTCTGGCCCAAATTGCACCTATTCAGATGCAAATACTCGAGTGAATCGGCTTTAAAGACTACTGACGACAGATCGGTAATTCCTGGAGTGCGATCTGAAATAATAGAGAGAGAAAAGGCCTTTACGCCCATACCTGTGAGTAATGGGACCCATTTCTCGAGAAGCAAAACCGATTCGTGATCCGAATAATCTTTGCCTAGCAGCGATGCATAAAGGTGAAATTTCTCTAAGGACAAACCTTGATCGTAGTATTGCTGTAAAGTGTTGTCCACAGTTGATAGAAAACCTTGTCTGTTACCTTTGAAGTTGATGTCGGAAAAATCAAGATTGGGACGAGCGCACCAAACGTAGCGCCATGATTTGGACAAGACAGATGTTCGGACAGCATCTTCTTGAGAGAGAAAATACAAAATTC